GAGGGCGGGGTGGTGGCGTGTAGGGCCGGAGTGCGGGGCGTGGGGGGTGTAGGGCGGGAGTGTTGAGGGCGGGGTGGTGGCGTGTAGGGCCGGAGTGCGGGGCGTGGGGGGTGTAGGGCGGGAGTGCTGAGTGCGGGGCGCGCGGGGTAATGGGGAATAAGGGAGGCTGTTGCGTGCGGCCACGGTGAGTAGGGGATAAAGGGGGGAGGAATTGCTGAATACGAGATGCACCAGGTGCAGGGAAGGTACTGAGTGCCCTGTGATTAGAAGCGTTTGGGGGCTCTGGCCCTGAGCAGAAGGCACCCAGTAACTGGAGCCTGTTTTACTCGCTCTATACTGTCCTTATCCAGAGGTCTGAGATACTGTAGGTCTGTGCACCTCTCAGGGGTTTAGGTTCATTCCCTTAGATGGACTCTGAGCATTGCTTCAGCGGGGTCCTCTTAAATCCTGTCTCACTTGCATTGTTTAACCCCGCACACAGCTCAGTCTATGGGGTCCAATAAGCAAAGTCCCTAATGAGTACATTCCAACCTTCTGTGTAGACCATATTCTCATGTGGTTTTGTTATTACCAGGTGAACTGCAGATGGGCCCATTAGGGAGCTCTATCCTTCCCCCTTTCTTTCTCTATTTCCCGATGAAGAAGCAGTCGCTCAGTAGTGGTTATTATAGCTATTAAGCTATTTTAATCTAAAATATGTGGATTGTACCTTTGCATTTTCTAGCTGTGACCTGGATTCAGTATAATTTATTAGTCTGTTTCTTTGAAACAGGATGGCTCATGCTGTCCCTCTCCCCATACCTTGTCCAGTCCAGCTTGGTACTATAAAAAATGATTCATTGGAAGCTCAACTGCACGAATATGTTAAACAAGGAAACTATGTTAAAGTGAAAAAAATCCTGAAAAAAGGTAAGAGTTGAATTTAGACAAGTGTTTGCAAATATCATGCTCTCTTGTATTTTTGACAATGGATGATGCTTTCTTTGTGTTAGGAAATTAGGATGCCATATGAAAAGTTTACTCCATTTTTGTGATTGATGTACAGATTTGTCTGTATAGCAAATGGCATTAGTTATTTATTGTAGCCACAAAACAGGTATGAACTGAAAAGTGGTAAGTGGAATAGAAAGTTATGTAGTTGACTATAGAACCAGTAAATAATTAAAATGACGCGGCTGTAATTTTGAAGAATTGTGGAAGTCCCCTTTTAAGAGGAAACGTATACTCCTATCAATTTACAGCATATTGGTTCAAACCGAAAAGCATTTCATGCCTAGTTTATTTCTCTGTAATTTTCGGCCGCCTGGTTATTCCCTATATGTGAATGCAGATATTTTGCAGATGTTCTAATACTTGACATCTCTTTATTTTTGCAATTATATATATATATAAAAACATTGCTGCTATATTTTCTATCCAAAATGTGACGTTCCTAATACTGGATGTTTACAGTCGTACCGTATCCAAATAGTGTACAGCTCTTGAACTAGGAAGAGAGTTGCATAGGGGAAAAACGGAGTTTATTCACCCCAATACCAGTTTTAGTGGCTTCCGTGAACTTGAGAAACATAACTGTAGACATGTGTAGATCCGCCTTAACGGCAAAGGTAGAGAGGCTCGAAAAGCAAACCACCAAGTTGATAATATATGGTCTATTATTGCCAGTGAATTCGGAGTGCGGGGTGGTAAGCAGACGGGCCAATGTTAAGAAAACAGTACCTAATGGGAGGAGAGACTAACAGGAATCTCTGGGGAACAGACGTCATTGCTTTAAGAGCGGATTGCTTACTGTCTACATCGCTTCTGAAGCACGTCAGCACCTTCGTCTCTTGCAATGCGTGCTGCTTTTGCGTAACTGTTCCGATGCGTCCTTCCTACGTAGCCAGTTCCAGTTGTAGTCCCGCCTCTATGTATGAGCTATGGAAGAAATATCTGATTGGCTGAAGCGGTGTTCCTCTGTTAATTAGAAGAAGTGATTGGTGAAATTCGGGAAAACGTTTATTTGTAACAGAAGCTAAAGAGGGCATTAATATTTTTTTCATATATTTTAGGTGCTACAATGAGACATGCACACAGTGTACTGTTTGTCAGTCTCACTGTCTCTGTGATCATAGTTAGATTTGATGTATTAAATTACACACTGTAACCACGAAATATAGGCGCTTTAGACGTTAGACTATAGCCGTGGGTGGATGTTTTCAAAGTGATTGGTCTCGCTAACTACGAGGATGAGTTAAAGTGTTCTTTCCTGAGTAGGCAGTTGTTGTCTGTTATTGATGATCTTTCTTTCTTCTCTCTGGGGTAGTAGGAGGGAAAGAACACAGACTGAATGTGGTTAATCTGTATAAACTAAAATATATATTTTTTTAAAGTTGGTGTTTAACTTTGTTTCTGATGTGGATATTTAGAGAAGGGATCGCAACTAAGAATTTTTTCACTTGATCAGAGCTCAGAGAGCCGAGAAGTGTGGGAGGATGGGGGTGTTTTTCAGTGAGTTTTCTAATAGCATGAGAGATGAAAATGCAGTGTAAAAATACAACAGTTTTTATTTATCAGTTGCTTAAGAGTTCTTGAACCTCTAATTCCACCTTTTATGCAGTGTCCCTCTCTTTTGTCCTCTCCCCGTTCTATTTTAAAGTTATAGGCGCATGGATTAATATTAATTCTGCAAGTTCTCTCTGCTTTCCACTTTTTCTTCTTTTCTCCACGCTCTCCCCCGTTTGGAGTAGTCCCTATTTCTACCCCTAATGCTCTGCCAGTTCGTTGGTATGCAACTTTCTCGGAGCCTCTCTGAGCCCTTAGTACAGGCCCTAATGTGGAAGTGGGGGTGGAGAAAAATGGGACCCACAGAACCCGTGGCAGGTAAGGAGCCTGGGAGAGCTTGACTTGGAAAGGAGGGAGGAATGGGGGAGAAGAGGCAAATAGGGGTGCACACAGTCTCTACAATCAGGGGGTAGCCGTGGTAGTCTGTATCTACAAAAACAACAAGGAGTCTGGTGGCACCTTAAAGACTAACAGATTTATTTGGGCATAAGCTTTCGTGAGTAAAAACCTCACTTCTTCGGATGCATCTTGCAGTGAGAAGTGAGGTTTTTACT